AAAGGAGGAGGAATTTGGACAGTTTTTTATAGGGATCTCCAGGTTTCTTGTGGAAAATATGGTTATGGTGAATATGTCTGCTTTATGTTGCTCCTTCATCCTTGGACAGTGTCCCCAACAGTAGCATATGATGGCTTTGGCATATGAGAATGTTAGAGGTTCCTTAATCTTGAGAAGTCTGGAGACGTGCTAAAACAATCCTCTACAGAGTTAGTTTTCAAGAAACAATGTGATACATTTATCTTGCTGATAAATGGCAATCTATTAGATGCCAGAAGCTTAGTAAAGTATTTGAATTCAATGTATGAAACATTTATTAATGAGTTAAAAATATTGCACCCAGTCTTGTTAGGTGGCACACCATCGGGGACCCACTAGACACAGGGATTGACTCTGGAGTTGGGTTTATTTAGTACCTTTATCCTTAATTTAAATGATGGAATTAAAAATCCATTCATTTTAGCCTTTTGGGGTGCATAAGTCAAAATAAATTATAATTGAGAAAAATTAGAGAAATGGACTGTCTAGGCCTGGGTAATATTTGATTACATGAATGCAAGGAAATATAAATGGGGATTAAAATCTAAATAGGTCAGGACTAGTGACAGTCCTGGATTAAGCAGATATAAAATGTCTTGAGAAAAATAAAGGACCATGAGGGGCCTCGGCCATGACTCAGCGGTAGTGTGCTGGCATTGACAACTATGACATGATATGTTGAGATGGGTCAAAAGGATGCAGTGACAAAACTGAGAAATAGGCCTGCTATATTCTGAGTTTCTTATAACCATTTGGAGTTTCCGGTTTGTTTTCGTTTTAAAGAAGAATGGTGAGAATGCTGAAGCAAGAAAAGAGCAGTAAAAGTGAATGGGCTGGCCAGTGAGACCTGCCCAAAGCAAAGTCTATTTGGGGCATCGGTACTGCTTGAGCAGCTCCAGCAGGCAGGGAGGACACCAAAGACTGGGAGCCCTCTCTGCAAGGGGCCTGCTCTACCAAGTTTTACCACTGGGTGTGAGGGGGAAAGAGAGTGGTCCTGGCACTGAATTTTTATGCATTTGATTGGGTCTTTTATTTGTGATACGTTAATTAGTATTAATTTCTCAGAACTCCTAATTAACTCAAATCTCTAATGTCTTGCTTTTTTTTTTTAATTAAAAAAAATTTTTTTAATGTGTTATTTATATTTGAGAGGAGCAGATGACAAGAAATCAAGCTCAAATTAGAAATTGGGTCAAAAGAAGCAATTTCTAATTGCCTAGGGTCATTACAGCTTCAGCCTCATCTCTCATTACTTCTCCTTCACCCTCAAGATTGTAGAGCATTCATTGATGTTCAGTGTCCTGAGGTCACTTCAAGATCATCAAAGGTAGATAGTTTTCAATAAAAAAAAGATTTTCTGGCTAATCTTCACTTAATTAAAGAACCCTGCTTTCTTTGAGCCTTCTGGTTTATCAAAGTTTTAGTGTATAGTGTTTAGCTGATGAAGGGAGAGTTTGAAGGCTCCATTAAGTACTAAGCAGCTATTCATCTCCACAGAATTAGAGGAGATGGGCTTAGTTTGCAGGAGATTTAGGGTAGACATAAGGAAGAACTTCCGGATGGTAAGGGTTACTCAAATTGGAACATATCACTATGGGAAGTGGTGATGTGTTCATCCCTATGAATGGTCCAGTGAGTCAGTTGTGAAGAAATGTTTGATGTTTTTAGGTCTAGGACCTACCTCCATTTCTCATCTTCCCTACCCCTCTTGCTGGTTTCCCTTCTTCTGGCAGCACTTTACAGGCCTCAAGACAGACCTCTTTCTGACCCATGGGGATGCCCTTGACCTGTCTTTGGGATACAGTGTTCTGGAGGTAGCTGGGGAGTGGAAAAGGGACAGTAAGAACCAGGCATAAAGTAGTAAATAAGGGGCTGGCCAAGTGGCTCAGTTGGTTAAGAGCTCACTCAAGAGTTTGAGCTCTGAGCAACAGCGGTTTGATTCTCAGCCTGAGCTGAGCAGCCGCTGAGCTGCCAACAGGTGGCAGGATGGCTCAGCTTAAAAAAAAAAAAAGTAGTAAATAAGGTACCAACTAGTAGTAATCATTATCTTGGTTATCTGTTTTTTTATATAGAATTTTTAGAAATTCCTCCTTTCAACAAGCAGTACACAGAATCCCAGCTTCGAGCAGGAGCTGGCTATATTCTCGAAGACTTCAATGAAGCTCAGGTGAGGAGTTTATGTAGCTTCCCAGAGGGTCAGTGATGAAGAATCCACCTGCTGTTTGAGAAGAGGCCCGAGAGGGACAGTGGCTAGAGATTTCAGGAACTGGGAAACTGCCAAAAGGTAGTTGCATGAAATAGAATTTCTACTGTATACAAGGAAGAGACGTTAGACCTTGGGTTAGTTAATGGCTGTGGTTCTGTTGCTGGAACAAAAGCAGATTAAAATGTGTTTAATAGAAATCCCTGATTCTGCCTGAAATGCTGAATACGTGGAGTCTGGTTGTCCCTTGAGGATTCAGGCCCCCAGAAAGATGGTGAGGCTGGGAGAGTGTCTAGTGAAGCCACTTGGGCCTTGCAGTGAGAAAAGAGGTCTTAGGCAGAAAGATAGGCTCCATCGATTTTGGATAGTACAGTTGACCCGTGAACAACATGGGGGTTAGGGGCGCTGACATCTCTGCAGTCAAAAACCTGCTATGACCAGTCGGCCCATCCCGTAAACAGGATTCCCAATCACGGAGTTGACCCTTGAACATGGGTTTGAACTACATGAGTCAGTTGAAAAAATCAGTGTATAAATGGACCCATGCAGTTCAAATCCGTGTTGTTCAAGGATCAGCTGTATTTGGGTGTTGAGATCTGTTCTCTATGACTCATTAGGGCTGCTATTTAGGGGCTTTCCATAGACATTGCCAGACCTACGGTTCTGTTCTTTTCTTCCAGTGTAACACGGCCTACCAGTGTCTCCTGATTGCCGATCAGCATTGTCGAACCCGGAAATACTTCCTGTGCCTTGCCAGTGGGATTCCTTGTGTGTCTCATGTCTGGGTCCATGACAGTTGCCATGCCAACCAGCTCCAGAATTACCGTAATTATCTGCTGCCAGCTGGGTATAGCCTTGAGGAGCAAAGAATTCTGGATTGGTGAGTACTTAGGAGCCCATCTAGAACTGTAGGAAGAAAGGCAGCAAGCTTTTGAAAGGGGAGAATCTAGGTGAGAGTATTTCCAGAAACTGGAAGAATTGTACGATAAATTACAGAACTTGAATGGGTTTGAGATTATTTTAGTAGTTCACCTAGTTTATTTCCCTAGGTTACACTGGTTAAGGGACCTTTTGAAAATGTGCAAACATTTTCATGTAGGTTCAATATCTCAACCTTCGTGGTTAGGGGACTAAGTTTTAAGCAAGGCATTTAAAAATATAGGCTCAGGAGCATTATTTGGCTCATTCTCAGCACTAAGACAAACATGGAAATCAGAAGGGGTGTTTTTAGGTCATACATCATTCACAGCAAAAGGGGAGGGGTGTGGTGCCTGAACACAGGGCTTCTGAAAACATTCAGATGTACCTGGGTTCCTTTGTAGAAGGGCTGTTGTTGGATATTACCTGTCATGCTAGGTCCCTTCCAGTTCCAAGGTGCTGTGTCTCTGACTCCTTCCTAGGCAACCCCGTGAAAACCCTTTCCAGAACCTGAAGGTTCTCTTGGTATCAGACCAACAGCAGAACTTCCTGGAGCTCTGGTCTGAGATCCTCATGACCGGGGGGGCAGCCTCCGTCAAGCAGCACCATTCAAGTGCCCATAACAAAGGTACCTGCAAAGTGTGTGTGTTGTTGTTGCTCCAAGAATGTCCTTAAACCCACAGCTGTTAGGCTTGTGGTCTAAGTCTCAGTCCTGATTATAGGTTGTTACCTGTGTTTCTAAGAGAAGGAAAATACCACCTGTAAGAGGTGAGCTAATAGGAGTGAAGCACTGGGCTGTGTATGCTTCTGCTGCTGTATTTGCTAACCATTTCTACAAGGCAGCATTTCGTGACAACTTGTCACCTTTGGTTTTGATCAGTAGTGTGCTATGTGTGACATAAAGGGCTTTAGTCTGGGCAGAGTGGGATGAACTGGCTAGAAGGTACATCTGGCTTTTTAACGAAGGGCTACATTGAGTCTTCTTTCCTTATTCACCTTCCCTGCTTCCTGCAGATATTGCTTTAGGGGTATTTGACGTGGTGGTGACGGACCCCTCGTGCCCAGCCTCGGTGCTGAAGTGTGCCGAAGCATTGCAGCTGCCTGTGGTGTCACAAGAGTGGGTGATCCAGTGCCTCATTGTTGGGGACAGAGTTGGATTCAAGCAGCATCCAAAATATAAACACGATTATATCTCTCACTAAGGATACTTGGTCTTACCCGTTTTATTCCTTGCTGTTGTGGAGACTGTGTTTTAACGAGGTTTTAAATGTGTCTTGTGTGTAACTGGATTCCTTGCATGGATCTTGTATATAGTTTTATTTGCTGGACTTTTATGATAAAATAAATGTTGAATCTCTTTGGTTGTAGTAACTGGGATTTCTTCATCCACTTCTTTGAGCTTAATCTCAGAACAAGTAGCAAGACAAACATAGTACTTTCTCTGCGATTTTCAATAGGCTTGTTCACTAGGAGGACAGCTAGTCAAGGAAAATAACAAGGAGTGAATGTTAAAGTTTTCTGTGGCATCATTGTCAGAAGATTTTTTTGGGCTGTCTAAAATCCAATACTACTAAGAACCTAATTTTACAGTAGGCCCAGATGAAAAGTTGTGCCAAAAGTTGAATGAAATTCAGTACAGCTCTGTTTCCTGGCAATTAAAAAAAAATCTCGTTATAAAAGAGTTGAGCTCACTAAACTGACCTGTGGGTACTGTACTTTTAGAGCTAACAGGCAAAGAGACCAACTGCTGTGAATGGGCAGTGACTATAACCTTGATGGGATGACTTCATGCAAGAATAAACATGAGAAATGAGTGATAGCACTTGGAGATGTCAGAAGCTCTAGTCACAGGTACAAAATTTTATTACTGTTGTCACAGATGCTAGAAGCTGTTCCTCCCCTACCTCTAGCATCACCCTATTGATATTTTCTTTCTCTAGAGCAGGCGTCAAATTTTTTTTCTGCCAAATAGTGAATATTTTAGGCTTTGTGGGCCATTCAGTGTGTCACAACTACTCACCTTTCCCATGATGGCATGAAAGCAACCATCGACAATAGGTAAACGAAAAAGAGTAGCTGTGTTCCAGTAAAGTTTTATTTACAAAAACAGGTGGCGGGTCATGGTTTGCTAACCTCTGCAGTGGAAGGGGTCTTTAGCTGACAGTTACAGGGAATAAGGGTAAGTGTAGTATGTGGTATAAGATGTAGACATGAGGACCAGATCGAATGGCTACAAACTGAGGCCAGAATGCTGCATTCTTTTTGTGTTTGGAGGGAGTTCAATGAATATTTGTTTTGGTTCACAATGATACGAATATTAGTGATTGCCAGTGACAGTTGGGCCACATTGGGAGAACCTTAACTCCTGGGGCTTTTCTAAGATGGGATAGTTAGACCAGCAATTTTCAGTATTTGACAGCTAATAATTTTATCTCAATTTTTTTTCTTAATGACCTTTCTTTGTTAAAAAATAACAAAACTTTAAATAACAAAACATTGTTACATTGTTAATAACTAGAATTGCCCTGAAATAATTAACACATTGTGGACCAGTGACACAGATATGCGTCTATATATTTAAATGCCTCATCCTCAATGTGTTAAGAGCTCACTGGTAAAATTCTTCAAATTCAGTTTTGAAGATCCTTAAAGATGGGACATTCTCAATTTCAATTTTCTGAAGGAGGAAAAGAGGATCTGTGGGTTGAGGGGAAGCCTACCCTATCTGGTGCCTTTCTTGCTCAGCGCTAACATCCAGCATTGGCCTATTTATAAATATAATTCCTTTTTCACACAAGCCACAAAATATTTAACTTTCTGATCTATATTACTTGTGTGTCTCTTGCAACTTGAACAGTACCTAGGCACATAGTAGGTGTTCAATAAGTGAAATTATCTGACAAATATTCTCAATGTAACGGATCTTCCATGGTCCACAGAGGGAGAGCTGACATCACATGTTCTCTTGTGGGTGAGTTAAGAACTCCCCTAAGATGGTAGGGCAGGCCCTTCTATATGGGAAAGGGGGGGAAGGATTTGTACCCATGGATGTTCGGTAATCGCTTCTAGGAGAAAAGGCAGAGCCTCTCAGTAGGTCGCAGACATTCAGTGAGTGGCTAGAGAATCCCGTTTGCTGTGAGTCTTGTGTTAAAGATGGTAACGCGGTGGGATGGACTGTTATTTCAGTGTGTGGACCTGACATTTTCACATTCCGAAACTACAAAAGAAAAAAAAGAGCCTTATCAAATATGCTTTCCCAAGATTTTCTTAAAAAAAAATATGAATCAGGGCAACCTGTAATCTAGATAATGTCATCTTAAAACTCAAAGTTTCTTTGACTCTTCTGCTAAAATCACTTAGGAAAAATCTGCTTGAAGACATTTGAGAGAGAGAAGGGAGAGCAATTAAGTGCTTTTTTGAATGGGACAGACCTCTGAGAGAAGCCAACAACCATTGAATCTATTAGATTAAAAAAAAAATGTAGTTAGAAGGGGTGGTCCCCTCCTTTCCAGACATGGAAGCTGCTGGCCATGGCTAGTTAATGTCACAGCTAGGAGCTGAAGCCATGCTGCTTTCCAGCCTAGCCATCCACAGCCTAGCCAAGAACCTAAAACCCATCTCAGCCTCAGGGGTTTGGTATTTTATAGGATGATTACTTTTACTGGAAAATAATCCATTAAAATTTATTATAGATGATCAGACACATAATAGCCCTTTATCTCTTTGAGTCTTAGTTTCCTTGTTTATAAAATGATGGTATTTAGACTAGATATAGCTAAAGTTTGCTTCAAGCCCTGGAATTATACAACTTGTTTTTAAAAGCCACACACACACACACACACACACACACACACACACACACAGTCCAGTGAGTTCCCCAAGGGTTGTTCGTACCTGCCCAGAGTTCCACCAGCCTGGGTGTAATATTTGTTATAATCTAGTCGTAACAGTAGTTGAGCCAAGTCCGAGTTGATCTGATGATTCCGAACACTGGAGAGAATCTTGAATAGCAGTGATGACTGGCGGCTAAAGCCCTGCAGAGAGGAGGACTCAAGCTGTCAGTCAGCCTCAGACTCACCCCCTGTCCATGTGGGGGGAGGGAGCCTTCCTTGGAAAAGTCGTGCTCAAAATTCTGCAGCATCACCCAGCCTCCCCACATTCCCATTTCTGTTAACTCCTAAAATGACTTCTTGAGTCTGCAGAATACAGGACTTCCATGAAAACTCTCATTCTCAGTAGGAATTTAACAGCCAGTTTCAAATTAATATATTCTGGTGTGTGTACTGGGTTTGGGGGAGCCTGTGTGTTTTTGTTACAGGCAGACCATTATAATCTCTGAAATAGGGTAATTCAAGGAAGTAAGGAGGTCAGATATGAGACAGAACAAAGCCAGTGCATTTTGGTGGGCTGAATCAACTGTTCAGAGCTGAACTATTTTTGAACGTGGAGGCGGCACATAATTATCTTTCAAAATCAACCGATACCAACATTTTAAATTTGTATCTTTGTTATTTCTGTGTGTATGTACTGGGGAAATGCTTCACTGCTTCAGGGAAAGATCCTGGTTCCCCGTGGGCAAAACCACCTCTATCCTTTGGACAGGGCTCTCTATCCAGCGGCCAGGCCGACTCACCTTCACCAGGATGCTCAGCTGGGCGGCCCCTCGTTCATCCAGCGGGCCCAGGTTCTGACTGACTAGTGAGCAAAAGCTGTGACAGAGATCTAGGATTTCATTCAGGCAGTGAAACACCTACCCAGGAAACAGAGTTGGCCATTAGGGGAGAAGGAAGATCTGTGAAATTAAAAGATTTGGGAAAATAATTGAAGAGCTAACTTATTCTCACGTTCCCACATCTGACCTCAGGAGAGGAATGCCGTGTGCAAGTTCTGCCAGCCCCTCAAAATACAACCCCTCCGTTCCTGGCAGTGATGCTTCCATTGCCTTAGTCGTCCCTACACAAAACTGCCACTCTAGCCACATCAAACTAAACTAGTCCTTGTTTCTTGGACCCACCGAGTGTGCTCCTTTCCTGAGCATTGCTTTCAGCGTTGTTCTCTGTGCGGGAAATTCCTTCACACCGGGTCCCACTCCCTCAGTGGAGCGCGCCCTTCCCCACGTACCTTAGTGACCTGATCCTCTCCTCTATTATCTGTACTGTTCACTTGGCATTTGTTCAGGCCACTTGTGCTGTTACTGATCTGTGTATGTGTGTATGTCCTGTTTCTCCAACTAGATTGTGAGCTCCTTAAGGGCAGAGCCATGACTTATACCTCTCTGTATCCCCAGTGCCTTGCATACAGTAAGCACTCAATAAATACTTCGTGATGACCACCTGCTCTGAGATTCTGCTTTCCCCCAAGGATGCATTCACACCATACAGTCTACCTGTGACAGTGGTTCTTGGAGTGGTTTTGATGTAACTCCCTTAATGAAGCAAAAATAGCCCCCAAACCAGAAAGTCTGTAGCGCCTGTGATGTGGGACAATAGGAATAACAGCCAGCTCACATCAGAGATAAAAGTGTAACTGTTACAGTACAAACTACAAGGGGTCATTTCAACCATCGTTGTTTTATTATGTAATTGGATTCAGCTGGTGATCTTTAAAAAATTCTGTTGCCTGGGTCCCACTCCAGGGACTCAAGTGCTCTGGGTCCTAGATTCTTTTAAGCTCCTAGATAATTCCCATGTGAATCCAAGGTTGAGGATAACTTCCCTAAAGGAAACACGTACACATGCACGTGCACACACGGGGACACTGTTCAACAACTTTCAAACAACTGGTTGATCCTGACGCAAAAGACTTTTAGGAAAGTAAACTATGCTTTTCGTTGGTCTCTCTATGGTGTCAAAAAGGTCTTTAAAATTACTTGAAATCCTTCCTTCTGAGGGTTAAGCACATATTTCTTCATCTATAGCTGCTCAACGCATCCTATATTTCAGAAATTGAAAGATAAATTTAAGTTCCCTTTTAACATTCCCTTTTAGTTTTGCTTCGTAAGTTGTTAAAAGTGAAGATCAAACAATTGCTTAATGATAGTTCCACATCCTGACAATTCAAAGTGCCCAAGGGAACAGTGAGGCTTGAAGAAGCCTGAGGATCAAGCAGTCATACTTACAGGTTTCAACAAGATAAAGGACTGAGCCAGCAAGTTGCTCAGGAAGTGGTCGTGAGCCAGTCGGATGCTTTCAAAGTCTCGGGTGGAATTGATCTGATGAAGCAGCTGTGAGAACTGAGACTCCAGCACATCTACCTGACAGACAGTTACACAAATAATTTTAGCACCTTCCATATTCTAAGCACTCAAGGACATTATGATGCCTGACAGGACCACACAGAAATTCCTTGTCCCACTCACCTTCCTCCTATCTAAGCTACTTGAAGGCTGACCAAAGGCACCCTTATGTGGCCTCGCCTTGTCGAAAGTTATTTGCCGAATTCCTACCAGCTTCCAATGTCTGGGCAGATTGCCCCCCCACACACACACCGCCCCACCGCCCACCCCAACCCAGGCCCCTCATGCCGCATTCCCTCCTGACTGACCTGATTAAGTCCTATAGGATTCCAGAAGTTACAGCAAATTATAACAGTAACAGTCAAGCCAACAATAATTAAATACTGTGTTGCTGATAAGGACCCTAACTCCTCTTCCTTCATTTATTTTCACTTTCCTCTTAAATGCCCCCAAGAAACACCTAGTGATACAACCCCATGAACTTTCTCAATGCTCAGCCTTGCATCAAATGCAGGATTACAGCCCCTCAGTAACACCTGCCACTTCCTCCTGCTCATCCCTCGGCACAGACCTGGAGGTAGTACTGGAGATTATCCACCAAGAACGCCATGTGGTTTCTTAGGCGCCACTTGACCGCATCAGTCTGGTTGGACTTGAGGTGCTTGCGCTGCATCTGCAGGGCCCAGCAGTGCTGCAGCTCAGCTTGTACCCGGCGCACACTCAGTAAGTACTTGAAAACAACATTGTACCTGGGACAGGAACAGCAGGCTGTGTAAGATAAAAAATTCTCCCCAGGCCCACCTGCACGACAGACCCACCCTCCCCAAAAAGGCAGGAAGGAACTAAGAGTGGCTAGGGATGTAGACAAATAAACTGGTTTATTTATATGATGGACTATTACACAGCCATCAAAATGAATGAACTTCAGCTGTACAACACAACAAAATGACTCCTAGTAATAGGATTTTGCATAAAAAAGGTAAATCACAAAAGATGACATGTAGTCCAGTACCTTTGTTATAGTGCTTAAGACAACTATTGTACATAGAGAAAAGCATACTTTGGGCAAATACATATATATAGAAAACATGGAATTTAGGATAGTGGTCAGTTCGGGATGTGGGAGGCAAGGGGGCAGGATGGGGAAGGACCACACAGGTAGATGGACATTATTGTCAGTATTCTAGTTTTTGTGCTGGGAGGTGGTTTTATGACGCACGTGTACATGCACGTGTGTAGGAAGGAGGGCCTTGCAAGGACCAATAAGAATATGTTAGGCTTTTGGTTAATCTGATTCTGTCCCTGGAGCCCACAGAAGAGAAAATCGAGGGCTCCTCCCACTGAGATCCCCTCGCAGCAAGCTCGGGCTAGTTGCCTAGTGCTGAGCCCTGTACTGAGAAGACATGGGAAGAGGAGCTGCTTCTGGTGGAACTGGGTATTGACTTGCTGTTAGGCAGGCACCCAGAAGACAATTGGATTCCATTTGGTTTTAAATTATCTATTTCTAATGGAACAATATACTGAAAATAGTACACCTTGTTTGGATTCTGATTTGACCCAACCCAACCATAAAGACATTTTTTTAGATAATTGGGGAAATTTCAATGTGGATTGGATATAAGGTAATTTTTTGGGTTTGATAATGGCATTGTAGTTACGTTGAAAACGTCTTTTTTGAGCTGCATAGCGATGGCGTGAAATGACATGTCTGGGATTGCCTTATAAAGCTCCAGCAACACAGACAAGTTCCATAATATGGATGGTTACTAAAGCTGGATAATGTGGACATGGGAGTTCATTATAGTCCATACTTGTGTTTATATATGGAAATTTTCATAATAAAAAGTTAAGAAAATACTCAGTTTGATTTCTTTAAGGGTGTTAAGAGTATATCAAGTGAGCAGGTGAGTGGACTGTTGGGCTGTGGGTCTGTGCAGCTTCCTTAGGTGGGCTGTGGGCTCGGAACCTGGCATGGAATCTTCCCCTGAACCAGCCTTGTCTTTTCCAGTTGATGCCTCGTCTCATATCTTACACTTCTCTACTCCCCAAAATAGAGGGGGTTGTGAACAGGAAGAGAGGATGAAGAGAGGCCCTTTTGTTCATTTGTTTCCCTTCTCTCCACTCCTCTAGCCTGAGCAGGGCAGCTGCCATCCTCCAGCCAGGCCAGGGGCCGGTGCCCAGACCTGTAATAGGTTTGGGAAATTCCTGAAATGGAGTGGGGATGGATTTCAGAGGCCACCACCACCAAGTATGCTTCTCCCACTGCCTTTCCCTAGAGCTCTAGTTCCCCTCTGGTTTGGGGACATGCGGTCCTGACAGACCAAGCAGCAGCACTTGGCAGGCTCTCAGGATAAAGACCAGGGCTGATCCGAGAGTCTCTTGCCACCTGGTACCACGCCTTTACTCCACCACCCACCCAGCTTGGCTGTCCCCATTGCCTCTCCCTGGGGAGAAGAAGGTATTCTCCCCAGTGGCTAAAGCCACAGGGAACACGTGGGCTTGGAAAGTCTTCCTAAGTATTATAAGTAAAAAAATTAGAAAAGTTAGGGAGGAATCTTAAGTCTGATGGAATTATCAAGGGCCAGCCTCGATGTGGTACCTGAGAGGCAGGTCCCAGCAGTCACAAACTGGCAGCCTGTAAACTGCTTGTTATTTTGCCATTAAAAAAGAAAACTGGGACCAGCTGAGTGTCTCATTGGTTAAGAGTTTGCTTGCGAGTGCAAGCTCTGAGCAGCAGGGTCGCCAGTTTGGATCCCACATGGGCCAGTGACACTGCACCCTCTACAGCTAAAATGGTGAACAACAACTCGACCTGGAGCTGGGCTGCTGTAAGGCAACGGCGTAGGCTGTAGTGGGGCTGCAGTGGGCTGCTGTAAGCTACCATTAGTGGCCGGCAGCCGGTGTGAGCTGCTGTGAGCTACCCTTAGCAGCCATCCAATGGCCAGCAAGTGACTGCCTCAGCTGGGAAACGCGCAATGATCACAATACCAACATGGGCCAGTGAAGCGACGTCCTCCACAACTAGACTGAAAAACAAAAGGACAGCAACTTGTCTGTTCCCCTTCCCCGATTCCCCAACACTGTTCCCTCCCCCAATTCCCCAATAAAATCTTAAAAAAAAGAAAACTGATGGTTTTAAGGGTTTGACCCTTCCGTTCATTCCAGTATCCACCACTCCCGACTGTCATGTCTGCAGCCTCACTTTGTAATGTTTTCTGTTCAGTCCCCCAAGGCATCGGAGTTTGAATCCTCTGATTTACAGACTGTTAACTAGTTGGGTGGCTACTGTGCTCCCAGGAATTCTATTCCTGATCATTTATTTCCTTGGAAGTAAGGTGGGTCATTTTTACCTGTGAGAAACTCAAATACTCACTTTTCCAGGACAGCGGGGGTGAAGAGGATATGCAGTGGCCACTGCACTTTGTAGGAAAGACCCAGGGCAGCCCAGCCTGACGCGGGGGCTTCCCGGGGAGAAGTCTCCCGAGAAGGCCCTTCTCTGGCTTGAGCAGCATCTGTTACGAGGAGAAGGTAGGAAGTCTACATTAGGCTTCGCTGATCTAGAACCAGAGTTTCCACAGGTGAACAGCATTCATGAAATCAGTGAGTGCTCGAGCCTGCAGCATCAGAAGCATAGAGGGGACACAAAGGGGACTTGCAAAGACAAGAAAACTTCTATGTGAGGGTCTGTTAGGACTTTTAGAGATTCTTTTTTCAGCCTTAAAGTCTGGTGGATTGAGATACACAGACCATTCCAGCAGCACAACAAAAACTAAAACCTTGTCCTGAGCATCCCAGACTGCCCTTCCTCCTGTTTAAAATTAGGGAGATTTCTAAGGTCTCTGTGGAGGTGGACGGAAGCAGAGAAAGGAGAACAGATGACCAGTAGGAACAGAAAGATGCAAGGAAGAATGGCAAACCTTTATGCTCCTTTCCATGGTACTCAATTGTCAAGTGCAACAGAGGGAGAAGGTTGTCGTCGTCTAACAACACCTTGTGTGCTGACTGTTGGAAGGCCACATTCACATCTGCAACAAAGAACACGTGGGCTGACAACGCCTGGCTACATAACAGACCCAACCTTCCCCAGCCTCCCTCACACTGAGGGCGACGGAGTAGATGGTTGCTTGTGCCTGACTGGCATGCCTTCCTCCTCCTCTTGCTGATAACAGCACGCTGAGTTTCCCTGGAGAACCATCCCTGCCCAGTACAATCCATGTAGTTCCAGTGAGGCTAACAATACCTGATCCTAGGGGTAGGCAGGTGACCCAGGCATGAGCAAATGGAATGCAATACTCTACCTTCTTAACACTATTTTGTTTAGGGATGTGAACATGTCTCATGCCAGGCCATTCCAGAGGCTCTACTCAGACTCTGAACGAGTGCAGACTTTTTTTTTTTTGAGATAAACAGGGACTTAGTAGGATGTGAGATTCATTAGACACAATCTTGCTACCATATGCAACAGGCCTGAGAAGAAAGGGTGAAAGACGGAATAACATCAAGTCCTGAAGGCGTCATGTGAGCCACTGGATCAAAATGCCTAAAGCCATCATACCTTTGACCTTTTCAGTTATAAGAATGAAAAATTCTGGGCCGGCCGAGTGGCGCGATGGTTAAGAACTCGCTTGGGATGCCAGAGGGCCCCGGTTCGGATCCCACATATGAGGGCCAGTGACACTGCCCTCCACAGCTAAGATGCTGAACAACAGCTCAACCTGGAGCTGGGCTGCCGTGAGTCGCTGGCGACGGCGTAGGCTGCAGTCCCTGTGGCAGTGGGTTGCCATGGGCTACCGTGTGTAGCCAGCAGCCAGCAGCCAGCAGCCAGCGTGAGCGGCCAGCAGCCGCAGTGAGCGGCCGTCCAGAAGCCGGCGACTGATCTGCCTCGCCAGGGAAGAGCGCAATGATGGTGCCAACTTGGGCCAGTGAAGCAGCGTCCTCCACAACTAGATTGAAGAACAAAACGACAGCAACTTGTCTGTTCCCCTTCCCGCAATTCCCCAGCACTGTTCCCATCCCCCCAATTACCCAATAAAAATCTTAAAAAAAAAAAAAAAAAGAATTAAAAATTCTTTCTCCCCTTTGTTTAAGGTAGTTGGAATTGAGTTTTCTGATATCTGCAGCCAAAAATGTCCTATGCAAGTACAGTGGACATATTGTTTTATAGATCTAGAAAACAGTAACTCTGACTTCCCCCTTCACAGCCATTTTTTGTTTGTTTGTTTGTTTTTTTTACTCTGATCCTTACCCAACTTTCCTCAATAGTCTGTATGGGAATGGTGATCATTCCCATTGGTCAATGGAGAATAATTTACTGATATAGGCATATCTTAATGTCTGACCTCTTTGATACAGGGATAGGTACATGATCTGGGCTGGGCTAATCAAAACCTTTTCCTGGGGGTGACCGGTTAGCTCAGTTGGTTAGAACAGCTGATAACACCAAGGTGGCCGGTTCGATCCCCGCATGGGCCACTGTGAACTGTGCCCTCCTTAAAAGAGTCAACTATGCCATTATAGCATGAAAGTAATGTGTAACTAATGACTATGGCTGTTCCCCAATAAAACTTAACAAAAACCTTTCCCTGGAATCCTTTAACTCGCTACCAGAGAGACCGGGTTTGGCTCCTCCAGTAGACGCTGAGAGGGGTGTTCCTGAGAGCTGTCGGCCATGCTTCCAGATGGGACTGTAAGGCCATCAAAGAGTGTATAAGAAGCACAGGCAAGACATGGTAAGACAGAGAATCCCAGCAGTATTCAAGTCCCTGTTTCAGTTGTTCTGAGGCCCAACCATACACCCATCCCACTGAAGTTACAGACACAATAGCGAATACATTCCCCTTTTCTACCTAGGTCAGTTCAGGTTAGCTTTCCATCATCACAACCTTATGAGTGCTAATGCAGTAAGTGGTGGCAATAAGTCCCAATATGTCCCATCAGGACTACATGGCTATAATCTGATGAGATAAAACACCTGGTTTGAAGACCTGTACCAGCTCTCCCAAGAAGGGTCACGAGCCATGGCTCCCAGTGACCTCACTGAAGCCAACCTACCTGAAAGGCCTCCCATCTTTGGAAACACTGCTCTGTAACTCACCAGTCTGCTCTCATATGGAACAGGCCTAAATGGTTCAGCAGCAGCCAAGAAATACCCTACAACTTTGGTAATTCTCTGGCCCACAGGACAATTACCATGTTCAGTCACTGCAGTGGGCGGCGTTTTTAGCATGTGTTGAGCTGTGTCAATGAAGGCCTGAAACAGTTCTCCACGTCCCAGAAGGTAAAAGTCTTTAATGATCTGCAGAAAGAATTTCAGTTTACAATTTGCTACTCCAGTGGGGCCATGAGTTCCTCACTGTCCTACTGGAATCACACATGTAATTTCCAAATCTCATCAGTTTGAGCCAACCTACAAAACGATATAATAGGCTTTGGGTAGTTCAAAGGGGCATACTTAGCAATCTCTCATGGCAGGATGACTGGTGTGTCTTTGGTATCATTTATTCAGTGAAAACAATTACATTAAGCCAGAAGAAAGTAAATACCCAAAGCTTTGTACTAGTAAATGTATAATATTAGGTGGAGTTGGCCCATTCGACCAAGGACATATGAGGCCACTATAGAACTCCAGATACAGGCAACCAGTGCTCTCAGGAGAGGCTAGAGAATGAAGTTACTGCCCACCAGCATCATTTTAAGAGTGAATAGAACAGTTAAGCTATTACCTTCAGCTGACCCAGTAAATCTGACTCTTCCACCATCAGCTTCCAGAGATGCTGTGAAAAGAACCAACAAAACATGGACCAAGTTTCATTACAATGAAAACTTCTATAAAAAATGGTTTTGTACAAATCCAGCAATGTATTGAAAAAAAGAATATAAACCATGACCAAGTTGAGTTAATCCCAAGAATAAAAGGGTAGTTTAATAGTACAAAAATATGAGATGGAAATGTCCTGAAATTAGATAGTGGCAATGGTTACACAACATTGTGAATATACTATGAAACCACTGAATTATATACTATTTTTAAATGGCTCAAATGTTATGTGAATTTTCTCACAATAAAAAAAATTAAATATGAATGTAATTTCCTACATTAAAGATCAAAAAAGAAAATATATATGATCACCTCAATAGATGCAGAAAAAGCATTTGATAAAAGTCAACATCATTCATGATTTTAAAAAGAAAGCAAACAAGGAATAGAAGGAAACTTCTTATTCTGATAAAGGGTATACCAAAAAGCCACAGCAAACAACCTATTTAATGGTGAAACATTAAGAAGAAATTCCTTTAAAGGCATTCAACAATGTACTAAACACTTTGCCAATGCAGTAAGGAAAAATATATATAACTGGAAAGGAAGAAGCAAAACTTATTAACAGATAATATCATTATCTGCATAGAAAGTCTAAGAGAATAGATATACAGGTTATTAAAACTAGTAAGAATTCAGCAAGGTTGAGGATTAATATGCAAAAGCCAACTACACAATCATCACCAGCATCAAAGGTAAAATCCGAACAAGGATTTGTCCTGTGAAGTGATCAACACTGACTCAGGGTGCCCGAAATCTCCACCCTAGCACTAGTCCCCTCTCTCTCCTACTGGAACTGACACATTAAGAACTGGCCTTTGGCCCTTCTCCAGTACTCACCTGACAAAGTAGTTGACATTGCCTGGGGAATATAAGCACACAGGTGAAAATAACTAGACACGTGAAGAGTAAAAGAAATACAACAAACTGGATGAAATACACAACCTGAAGCAGAAGTTTGAGAACAGACTGAGTGGGTAGTATAATGTGTCACTGAGATCTCCCCTGCAAGACAGAGGTACTCGTTACCACAGTTGTTGGGAGTGTCGCCTGTTGTTGGCCCTCCAGGAATTGTCCTTGGCTAAAAAGGAAGCTTCCTTACCCACGGTTTCTCCCCCCTGAGGAGGGCCCACATCCAATTTCTGATGGACACAGTGCTACAATGGCCTAGCCTTCCAACCTCAATTTAGGACCTCTCTAAAAGGCCATGATAGCTTCAGAACTCTGCACAGGACTGGCCAGAGCTTCTGTTGCAACCACATCACAGTTTACCTTCTCTCTGCTCATTTCTGCTTCCCTCACTTCTTGTAAGCAAATTTCAGTCTCAGAATGTTTCCTGGGAAATCTGACCTACAATACAGGCCAATAATTTAAAATACTATTGAAAAATATGCTTAAAGATAATATACCAGGGGTGCCAAAAAAATGTATACAAGCGGACACTTTGGTCAACGTTGCTCAAGCAGGAGTTCACCATAATCAGAAGTGTCTGGACACTGATGGTAACCACTTTGAGCACCTCTTGTAATTGCAGAAGTCAAACGTGACTTGTATTCATCTTTTGTTATCGGTATATATTGAATATTAAAATTTTAATACAGTTTTCCTTTCTTAAAATGTGTATATATATATTTTTGCATCCTCTATTTCTTAGGAAATAAAGGTTTAAAAAAGAAGTCAAGCTTCACCGTATGAAATTGGAAGAAAGTAACAGAAAATTAAAAAAAACTAGAAGGAAGAAAAATAATAAAGATAAAGGCAGAAATCAAAGAAAGAAAAATACAAAGAAAATTAATTTTAAAAGCTGGCTCTTTGAAACAATTAATACTAAATAATAAAAAAGATTGAAATAAAATACAAAATAAAATAGCCACAGAGAAGCAGATATTTTAAAAAAATTAAATCTAGATGAAATGGGTAAGTTCCTAGAAAGTAGAAAATACCAAAATTGGTATAAGAAATAAATGTCTTGATTAGATTAATAGGTTTTAAATATGTTGAACTGGTGAAGATTCCCCGTTTAAAAGAACCTAGCTTAGATAATTTTTCAGGTAAGTTCAAACTTTCAGTAACAATTCCTGTTTTATATTAATTGTTCTAGAAAATAGAAAAAGAGTGACAGCTCATTTTATGAAGCTTATATAATCTTCATTCCACAACCACAAAAGAGTACGGGAAGAGAATAGTATAGTCTTATTTCCTAGTAAATGCAGATGCAAAAATTCCAAATACTGTACTGGTCAACCAAACCCAACAGTATATTAAAACATAAAACATCACATTCAAGCACGGTTTATCTCAGGAAGATTCAATATCTGAAAACCCAACCAGGGATTTACCATATGAATACACTAAAAGAGAAAAAAGAACCCAAAGTAAGGAACTGCACCTTAATTGATACAGCAAAAGCAGTTGATAAAAGTCAACATCTATTTATGATAAAAACTCATAATAAACCAGAAAGAGAAGTTAATTTTTTAAACTTGATGTTCCAAAAGCCTAAAGCAAACATTATAGTACTAGAGAGACTTTAGATGTGTTATCGTTAAAAGCCAAAAAAACTCAAGGATGCCCATTATCACCTCTACTGTTTAACACAATTTATATAAACTATCACTCCAGCTGTTTAATGCAGTAGTCAAGATCCTAGCCAAGACTGTAAGAAAAAAAAAAGCAATTATTTTAAAAATTGGAATGCAAGTGGTAAAACTTTCATTATTTACAAACAGTATAATCATTACTTAGAAAATCAACAGAGTCAACAAACTATTAGAACTAAAGAAAGGGCCGGCCAAGTGGTGCATTGGTTAAGAGCTGGCTTGGGACGCCAGAGGACCCCGGTTCGGATCCCACATATAAGGGCCAGTGATACTGCCCTCCACAGCTAAGATGCTGAACAACAGCTCAACCTGGAGCTGCCATGAGTCGCTGGCGATGGCGTAGGCTGCAACCCCTGTGGCAGTGGGTTGCTGTGGGCTACCGTATGCAGCCAGCAGCCGCAGTGAGTGGCCATCCAGCAGCCGGCGACTGATCTGCCTCGCCCGGGAAGAGCGCAATGATAGTGCCAACTTGAGCCAGTGAAGCAACGTTCTCCACAGCTAGACTGAAGAACAAAACGACAGCAACTTGTCTGTTCCCCTTCCCCCAATTCCCCAGCGCTGTTCCCATTCCCCCAATTGCCCAATTAAAAAAAAAAATAGAACTAAAGAAAGACTTCAACACGTTGCCAAGCATAAAATTAACCTCCAAAAATTAATATCACCATTTCTCTATATAAGCAGTAACCAACTAAAGCTAAAATTAAAACCAAATTATTGTGCATCTAGGGATTAACTTAAAATCTTTTTGTTGAAGTACTAAAGTATATAGAGAAAAGTACACAAATCATATGTTTACAGCTTGAAGGATTTTTGTAAATTGAGCACACCTATATAACCAGCACCCTGACAGCCCCACTCACACCCTTTTCATTGACCAAGGGCAAATACACCCTGACATCTAACATCAGATTATTTGTTTTCCAATTTTATATAGATTCACACTGGGTATGCTTCAAATCACCTGCAGAGGTTTGTTTATTGGTTGGCTGGAATAAATACGTGCACCTACTCCCTCCTGACCTATGAGTCAGAAGCTCTGGAGGTAAGGACTTGGGTGCAATTGCATGTGTTAAGATTTCCAGGTGATTCTATGCACAGCAGGAGCTGAAAGCCACTAACACAGTTAACAACACAGTTGACTGACTAAAGATCTCATTTCACATTTCACATACCTGTGAGCCAAACTTCGTTATCAGCCACAGAACGTATGCCCATTTGAAAAATTACTGGTCACAGTTTAAGTTGGTGGATGAAGCACCATCACTTAAGAACACTGAACACTGAGCCAGGAGTCAGAAGACCTGTTTCTGACTGTGTGGGGAGCCGGCTGGGATCAGCCAGGGACACTGAGGCTGTAAGCTGTGAAGCTACACGCCTCCATGTTAGGGTGAGCAGCTTAAAAGTTACAGACCAGTAAGGGTTAAGCCTGACAGCTGGCAAGCTGACAGGCCCTTAGGCCTTGGGGAGCAGTGGGGAAAAGTTGCTGGATAGATTTCATCTCCACTATGCCCCTGAAGAAAGAACAGCCAATGTCACAGACAACCTTAAAAGTTACACAGTGGAAGGCCATCCTTTTAACAGTTTCTACTTGCTATACTTTGTTTTGTCTCGCTTCAGAAAGATTGCTTCCAAGGAATCTGTTTTGAGAGGAGGGGGCTACTCCCTCAAGGTCCCAAAACCCCCTACCCTAGGAAAGTTACGTTTGCTATAAAAGCTGTATACAAATAATAAACGAGGCCACTCTCTGCCATCAGCATTGGGTGGACCTCCTGTCCCCAGCTTTCGTCTCTAGTCTCTCTCTTTTCCAGTCTCCCACCCAGTCCTCTCAGATACCCTTTCGGTGGGCTCCTGGCTGACGAGCCGGGAACGCTTGGTGGGTGCGCGGGTCGCATCATAACCGCAGCTTTGTTACTTCCTGTGCAACACCAGACAAGTTAGCTTTTCACTTAGAGGAATGGAAAAGTTACACTTGTTCTGCCTTCCTCATGAGTATCATATCCATAAATGAAAAGAATAATAAAGCCATTCTAAAAGATAAGGCACTAAGTTTAGTGAGAATCCGTTGATCCCTTGGAGTTTTTGCCAATGGCCGCACATAGACTCAAAATGCTGACTGTTTGAAATGAAACCAAGACCACCCTTTATACAACTAGCTAATTATTAATAACTAGCTAACTAGCAGACTCCTGTGAGGTGTGAAAAGGCTGAGGCAGTTCTCTGCCTCTATTACTAAAAACAGAGAGGGTGATTTCATTTCCCACTTCCTGTCCTCCCACTCTCTCAAACAGTCTCTTCCAAGCTAAGTTCTAACCACACCAACAAGAAACAAAAGTATCCAGCTTCTGGAGAACTGGCCCACTCTCTTGCTAAGAAAATATACTGGGAAAAACAAACCTCAGCCACGGTGCTGCGAATACCATCTACCACCTGTTCAAAATCCACCAGGCTGAAGAGCGGCTGTTGCTTGAGACGATGCAGCTCTGCAGCGAAAGTGTCCTCCTGGTTTTTCAAAATGGATCCTGCAGAACAGGAAGGCATGATTACAGGAAGACAGAGAACAACCAGGACAGGCAAGGCTTCTGCAGCCCGGGGGGCGGCACGCATGTTGTGGGTGTGCTGAAATCTCAGCATACACACGTGACTAGCCACTCACTGTGACCAGGCGTGCTTTGGGGGCCGCACAATGTCCAGTGAGAGGGGCCTTTGAGGATGGGGTACATTGGACAAAGAAAGCCCTACCTTTTCTAGTCAGGTTGACATTTTGATTCTCAAACATCTGGACAGATTCTCCAACAAACAGGATTTTTTCAGCAACCCTCACGGGAATGTAGGATGGCAGAATCTCCACTCGCAGGGAAAACTGCTTTAGAGATGGGGCCAGCATGTTCTCTTCCTCTATCAGGCGCTGGACAAAGAAATGATCCGTATCAGAGGTGATGAAGAAAGGGAAAACAGGAAAACATCCAGTAACTCTCCCAACCCGCCATTTACATTTTCTAGAAGCAGGGATTTAAATCTGAAGTTGCATAATTCTTAAATTACCAACATTAGAGAGAGAGGTAGTCCATTTTCAGGCAGCAGGAGAGCATGTGGAAATAACAGTGTTTTTTTTTTTTTTTAACATTAGGATTTTATTAATAATCCTCACTCTGCCTTTACTACTGTGGAAAACTTGTGCATTAGATCTGGAACTCAGTTTCCTTACTTATGGAATAACTGGTCTTTATTTTTTCCAGGTCTGCATGTCTATGGTTTTATTATCTTGCATAAGTCTGCTCTGCCCAGCTCTTTACAGCTTGAGTCATTTAGCCAAGTGGTTCTCAAAGTGTGGCTCCTGGGTCAGCAGCATCAGCTTCATGTAGGAGCTTATGAGAAATGCAAATTTTCATGCCCTTCCCCAGATCTACAGAAAATCTGGGCGATGAGGCCCAGCAATCCGTGTTTTAACAAGTTCTCCAGGTAATTCTGTGTTAACGTCTTGCCTAAAATTCTTCACTGGCTCCCAACTCTTTTCAGGTTCAAGTCCAAATTCCTTCCCATTGTTTACAAGGGCTTTCATGATCTCACCTCTGCTTAGCTCAACACTGATTGCCACTTACCCCATCTCCTCCACTGTCCCTTACACTGTATTTCAGTCTTTACTTGACCATTTCAGTTGAATTACTAATGGTTCCCCAAATAAGCCAGGTCCTTCATGGGTTCTGTATTTTACACACATCCCTCCGTCTGCCTGGAACATTTCCTGACCTCTCCTCCCAAACTCTTTGCAATTTAAACATTCCATTGAAAAGCCTTCTCTAGTTACTCTAAGACCATGTTCCGAGAACACCCATACTTACTCTTTTCAGAGCACTTAGTACAATGTAATGTTACTGTTTACTTATTGTATCTTCCACAAAACTATAATCTCTTTAAAGACGGACTGCTACATTTTCTGTGTCTAGTTTCATAGTTGTGGCACCTAGAACAGTGCCTGGCGCATAGCAGGCATTTAATAAAATGTTACAGGATAAATGGATGGATAGATGAATCAGGACAATATAGAACTTTGAGGAGTCTAATCAAAGCTCCAAACTGCACTTAAAAACTACAGGGTAGCTATAAGACTACTTTACCAGACAAGATTTATTAACCTCTTAAAAACAGATATTGGGAAAAGGGGAAATAAAAGGAATCTCACGAATATATTTTCTATTTTGTAGCCTCACATTAAGTGAGGTTTTAAGTTTAAGTATTAAGCTAAGATAAAGCCAAGTGTTTACATCTAAAGAATTTATGGAAGGTGCTCAGGCTATGATGGACTTGGAGGGAGGATCACCACAAGGTCATTTGGTTGTTGTCTTTTTTGACTCCTGTCAAGAGTACGCGAGGCTTCTTGCTGCGCTCTCACCAAGTCCTGCAGTTCTCGCAGTTGCTTTCCTGTCAGTCCCCCAATGCCCAGGTCCTCCTCATCTTCTTCTGGCTGGGCACTGACGTTACCAGAAGATGGACCCTGTTTGATAAAGAACTCTTCGTGCTGGTCCAGGAGGAGTCCATGTAGCATCCAGGCTGAGAGCTGCTTATACATAACCCCATGACACACCGCCAGGATTCTGAGTTGGGAGAAAAGCAAGAGCCTTAGAAGTGCACTTAAAGAACTGCGCAGAGGCAATGTTTAAACTGCTCCAGAATAAACAGGGGCTTGAGAGTTTGATGAGTCAGAAGGGAAATGACGAATTAAGCTAAAAATAATTGTGCTATTTTAATTTAAATGTTTGTGGATGCACTAACTGATCAAATTTCTAAACTTGTAGCCTACATACTGAAGTCTGAAATGTTCAGTGAATGTTCTGATAGTCTTTTAGGAGAAGCACATTTTCTTTCCTCTTTTTGTGTAAAGAAAGTTTCAAAACTGATGATTCCTGTTAAAATTAAATGGACTTACAGGAGTCTCTTTTTGGCTAACACAGTACTAAATTTATTTTATTTTTGTTGAAATCACATAGGGAGAATAGATTCAATGAAAAAGTATCATCCAACAAAATGCAGAAACTAAAACAAAATGCAGAAAGGTTGGAGAATGGGATATAAACATGGTCGCAAAGAATCACTCCCAGATAGCAGATTCATTACAAAGGGGAAAATGTCCCTCTAAAATAGGAGAGATCTGGCAGAACACACCTAAACCAAGTGATCAAACTTTACAACACCAGTAATGGGACAAACTTATTTTCTGTGCTTTCTAATATGATGCAATAGGAAATACGACCTATGTAGTATTCTTGCCCAAAATGTTTAACCTGAATCTAATCATGAGGAAATAATGAGATAAATCCAGATTGTGGAACGTTCTGCAAGACAACTGGTCAGGAGTTTTAAAATGCCAATGTCATCAAAGATTAAAAAAAACACACACACAAAAAAAAAACCGCAAGGGAGAAGACTGTTCTAAATTAAAGGAGATTAAAAAGCCCTGACAACCAAATGCAATATTTGCACATTGATTGGATACTGGACTGCAAAAAAGAACAGCTATACAGCACTTTTAGGGCCAGCCGAGTGGCGCGATGTTTAAGAGCTGGCTTGGGACGCCACAGGGCCCCAGTTCGGATCCCACATATGAGGGCCAGTGACACTGCCCTCTACATCTAAGATGATAAGCAATAGCTCAACTTGGAGCTGGGCTGCCATGAGTCGCCAGCAACAGCGTAGGCTGCAGCCCCTGCTGCAGTGGGTTGCCATGGGCTACCGTGTTTAGCCAGCAGCCACGGTGAGCAGCCAGCAGCAAGCATGAGCAGCCATCCAGAAGCCGGCAACTAATCTGCTTCATCCGGGAAGCGCGCAATGATGGTGCCAACTTGGGCAAGTGAAGCAACGTCTTCCACAACTAGACTGAAGAACAAAAGGACAGCAACTTATCTGTTCCCCCTCTCCCAATTCCCCAATAAAAATCTTTCAAAAAACTTTTAGAGGATAACTGAGGAAATTCAGATATATTTTGGATATCATGTTGTTGAATTAATGTTAACTTTCTTGGGTGTAATATGGTATTGAGGTTGTATAAGAGAACGTTCTTTTTCTAAAGAGATTCATATTGAGGTACTTAGGGGTTAAGCATTGTATCTGTGACTACCTTCAAATGATTCAGCAAAAAAAATTGTGGAATGCATGCGTGTGTGTGTGTGTGTATTTATATATACATATACATTTCACAGTTTATATAGAGGGAAAAAAAATCAAATGTGGCAAAATTTTAACTGGTGAAAGAAACTAAAGGATATACAGGTGTTTACTGTACAGTTCATCCAACATTTCTGTAGATTTGAAATTTTCCAAAATTGGGAAGAAAAAGAAGCTAAATGAGACTGAGTCTGCTCTTTGTAGTATGCTAACTGAATGGCATCACTATTAAAAATATCACATGGGAAGCCATTTATATTTTGCACATCTGAGGGTGTGGTAACATGTGGTCCTTGCAAATATATAACATATATATATATATATATATATCATATCATCTACATAAGATTTTATAGTCTATGCATAAAACTATATAGTATATTTATATAGACAGAGACTGTAGAGGACATACACCAAAAGTTAAATTGGGTATCTCAAGGGACTGAGATTACAGGTGATTTCTATTTCTCTTTTCGCATGTCTCTATTTTCTTTAATTAGGAAAAAAGGCACAGTAATAGCGAATTAAGTCCCTAAAGCATGTTCTATGAAGTTTGCTCCTCTTCTGCCGACTCACTTGAACCACTGCAGTGGAGATGGTTAAAGCGTTGTGAAGGGCCTTAGAGATCACTGCTTCCAATTTTGCAATTAACGCCACACCATCTTTTTTAAAAATAGGACAAGGGAATTAGGAAGATCAAATGAGCAGTCTTTGCTCAAACTCCACATATAGTTATAATCCTAAGATACATATCATTGTGTATCTTTTTTTCAGTTAGTATTATAAAAAAACTATTTCTACATGTTATATATAGTATTGATAGTTTTAATGGTCTGATAGTCTATTGAGTGAATATATATTTTGCTTTCTTCTGCTGCTGGTAATTTTCTAATTTCTTGATAATAGTAGACAAAATTGCAATGAATAATGTTTGTGCATCTGGTTATTTTCTTCTTTTGAATAATTTTTTTAGGATAAAATTCCTAAGAGTGGCATTATTGGATTATAAAGTATACTCGTAAACATTTTTAAGAACCTTGATGTGAAAATACCAGGTACTCAAAATACACAAGTTTAGAAATAGCTAAGCATTATCCGGCACATGTAATGGGAATTCCCCAAGGATGATGAGATCCCCAAATTAAAAAGGACTGCCTCAGGGCATCTGGGCAACTAGATCCTAGCTTTGATACTCAACACTTTATAACCCTCTTTGTGCAATTTCTGAGCCCTCATAAGGATTACTGAGTTCCTCTGCTCATGGGTCTTTTTTATCCTGGTCATAACTTTCCCCAGAGGGAAACCTGAGATGACCTGCAAATAAAACAGGTGCAAAGTCAAGTCATTTAAACACCCACCCTGCTCCCAGTCCCCAGCTGAGCTGACTTACTTTTCTAGTGCACTTCGAACAGGAGGCAAACCTCCACAGCTGTGTTTGTATACTGTTTCCAGGATTTGGCAACCATGAATCTGTGGAAAATACAACCTCTTCAAACTGGATTCCATTTTAATAGCTCATATAGCACAAACTCATATTTTATATTCAATCTAGAGAGTACAATCCAATGGGGGTAAACTTTCTCATTAGATCTATGTATAGTTCCGATTCTGATTCCAACTCTAATGTAGTGTAGGGGTGTTCCCTACACTACCAAGCAATCCTCTGACACCCGCTGGGGTGTCGTACAATTCAACTTAATTCTGACACTATCTACCCAGAGTACATCAAATCCCACAGGTTAAGGGCTCAGTCCCACAAGACTGCCCTCCATTTCAGATGCCAATCACAAGCCCAGGTTATTACCTGCTTCTGACCAACTGGCTATAGGTTCCCATGACCCTCTCCTTGGGTTCGATTAATTTGTTAGAGCGGTTCACAGAGCTCAGGAAACCAGGTTACTCATTAGACTACTGGCTTTTTTCAAAGGATATGAATTAATAGCCAGGTAAAGATACTTAGGACGATGTTCCGAACAAAGGAGCCTTCAGTCCCAGGGAGTTTGGGCTCTGCGTGGTGGCAGGTGGAACCAGTCTGTTTCATCAACAGAGGCTCTCTGAACGCGCTTTTGGGTTTTTACGGAGGCTTCATTAGCTAGGCAGGGCTAATTATATCATTGGCCAATGGTGATTGAACACAATCTCTAGCCCCTCTCCCCACCCAGAGGTGGGGAGGGGTGGGGCTGAAAGTGCCAACCCTCCAATCACATGGTTGGTTCCCCTGGCAACCAGCCCCCATCCTTAGATGCTTTCCAAAAGTCAACTCAGGTGTGGTTAACAGTTCAGGTGTGGTTGATAGGGGTTTGTTATGAATATCAAGACACCTATATCACTCTTACCACTTAGGAAGTTCCAAGGATTTTAGAAGCTCTATGCCAGAAACAATATGAAGACCAAATATACATTTCTTCTTATAAATCACAATAGTTGTTCTCAAAGTATGGACTCCCTACCTCTCTCCACCCAACCCCGCCTCTAGCAGCAGCAGCAGCATCACCTGGGAACTTTTTAGAAATGTAAATTCTTGGGCCCCACTGCAGACCTACTGAATCAGAATCTCGCGTAGGATCCGGACTCTGCAACCTGGTTTTAACAACCTGCTTTAGGTGATTCTAATGCACAATGAAGTTTGAGAACTATTGCACTAGAGAAACCAGAAACCTTTAGAGTTGAAATTCCAAGCAAAGAGGTAAAGAAAACTCTTTATATCAGATTAAGGCTTAATTCAGACTACTTATATGTTGCCTTACAGCCTCATCCTCGACTGCCCCCCCACACCAGCCCCTGACCTAACAAGGTCACGAGGGAGTGTCCTGGAAAACTGAGACCCGGCGGAATGATGTCGGGTATCTCCCTTAGTTCATGGCCGCAGCAGCAGCTGCACCATCCTGGGGGTTGTGTATGTAGGAGTGTGAAGGCACAGCATGAGTTGGAGTACAATGGGGCTGGTTGATGGAAACTGGCCTTAAGGCACTTATCATACAGGCTTTAGAAAAAATAAAAAAGTTTTACTCCTTTTTAGGTTTCTTAATAAAAGCTTCACGTTGGTCCGATTAGGTGCTCAGTTCCAAAGAGAGAGAACTGCAGCCCCCTAGCCTCGTGTCATAAATCTATCTTTGTCTCTTTTATTTTCTTTCACCCTGCACTGTCCCCTCTCACTCATCACTGCCCATGCTGCGTGGGGCGCGGCACTTATAAGGTACACACTTTTCCAAAAATCTGCTTTCTCTTTTTACGTCCTCTGGCTCCCTCTTTTTAAAAAAACTGCTTTATTGAGGTGTAATTTACATACCATAAAATTCACCCATTTTAAGTGTACTATTCAACAATTTTTAGTCAATTTACGGCATTGTGCAACCATCACCATAATCCAGTTTTATAACATTTCCATCACTCTAAAAGGATCCTTTGTACCTGTTTGCAATCATCCCCATTCTCACCCTCAGCCCATGTCCTTGACCAACTGTTTTTCACTCTGTAGAGCCAGAGCACACTAGCTTCTCTTCCACCTCCCTGCAGGAAGGAAGGTTCACCCATCTGCAATCCCTCTGCTCATTTCCACACTCTTTCCTGTGGCCAATGGACGCTGAAAGTCAACTGAGATGTGCCCTTACACTAACTCCACTTAGCTAGAAGGTCCCCTTTAGTTTGGAAGATAGATTAGTAAGTAGAGTGCTGAAGAGCATAGTCTTTGGAGTCAGACAGACCTGGGTTTATATGCCGGCTCTACCATTTAATACCATCTGTGTGACCCTAGGCACTTAACCTATTTGACCCCTCAGAGGTCTGAATGTGATAATGTATATGAAGCACTTAGCACAGTGCGTGGTATACATCAAGTGCACGATAAAAGCTCCATGTTATCTGATGAGGGCAAACAGCTTTGAAGGGCGAAAGAGCACCTCCTCTACTTGCTTTGCTGGCACACAATGAACAGCAGCAGAGTGTAAGTTTCTGCACTTACAGTGCAAAAAAATAAAGTAGCAACCTGGCAAATTAACTGGTTAACTAGTTATATTTATCAAAGTGAACACTCCTAATATGCTAAGGCACAAATATAACAGCTTAAAAACACGAATGAACTAAACATATTTAATCCATTTGTCCTTTTTGGTCCAATCAGGGACCAGCAGATAGATTGCTCTTCTAATGTGAAATCTCAAATCATTTATTCCTTGGAGTTATTAACTCTGCCCCAAAAAGACATTCTCCTGACACTGGGGACCCTAACTTTACAATGCATGTGATAAAAACCTGTGATAAAAATAGGTGTATTTAACTAATAAAATAAACATCTGGGTTTCACCCAATGGTCTAATTCTCAGGAAGCTGCCAGCACCCTAACCATAAACCTATTACCGTCTTTCCTCCTAAGGATTAAGTTTCAGCTTCACCTCAAGGCCCATATCCAACAGTTCTAAATCCTTAGTGCAAAAAGCTCTTACCTCCAAACATCCATAGCATTTTTCTCTTTCCCGGCAGCATTCTTGGGTATATCTACTAACATTTCCCCCACCTTCCGGACCAGCGGGTGCTTAAGAGCAGGGTTATAATTTATTTTTGCGTTCCTGACACTTAGCATGATGCCCAGCCAGATACTGTTGAATGAATAAATAAATAAAAACTACTAAAAACTAGGGTCTTCAAAAAAGAATGTAAGGCAAAATTAAGATTTCCTTGGTGCTTACCAGAGCAAAAAGAAAAAGGGAAGTTCTCACCTTTTGACTTTTAATTTGTTCTACTACAACCATCACAGAGGGGAAAAGGAGCTGGAACTGCAAAGTAGAAAACAATTAGGAGGGTCCATAATCAAATACAAGGGGGAAAAAAAAATTACTCGGGCAAATGCTTTTGTTTCTAAATAGTCCCACTTAACATAAAGATGGCAATACCACAGAGCAGCCAAGATCCAGAATCCTAATACAATTTGATATGGAGTTCGGCTGTCAATAGAAAGAGAATGGCAGACAGAAGCGTTTCTATATCTGAGGCTAGCATAATTCCTAATACTGAGGTCAATATAGAGCATTAACACATCAGACATTAAGTTTTAACTAAATTTGGAGGTTTTCAAACAGTTCTGACCTAGGAAGGCATACAAAATATAAAATGCTGGACTCTGAATCCAAAAAAAAAAAAGTTCTCAAGAAAATATCATAAGTTAGGTTATTCTAACAATATCAACACATTGCAAGGCATTTTGTTATTTTGGCAGCATACCTGATCTAAGGAGTAATTGACATGTGATATGGAGAGGTGGGGGTCGGCCAGGAACTGCAACAAAAAAACACTGTGATTAGGGCTCCATACAAAATATTTCAAATCTATTTGATCCATGAAAACTAGAAGGGAATCTGAGACTGGACTTAGTGTTAGTTTTAGGCTATTGAGATGATGATTTATAGAAGACTATTAATTCTATAAGATTATTCTGATTTTCAGGTGATAATAAGACCAAAGCTAGGGCTCTTACTATATACTGACTCAGGAACCTCTGCCATGATCTGCATGCCACTTTCATCATGGCTTGGGCAACCAGAGAGAGTACACCTTACCCTCCAGTCACACAGAAAACAGCCCACTCTTAACTACCTGGCCATATCAAAGGGCATTTCAAATTCAAGAACATGCCCTAATTTGCTGTCCCAGAAGGGCTGTTCCCCTAGCTCCTCTCTCACCTCTTGTTCCAAATCAAGCAGTGCTTGGCGATAAGGCTGCAAAACTGAGTCCAGACCTGTGCAGAAGGCCCTTAGGTAGATTCCATGTAACCCACCTTGGCCCTGCTGAGACGGATGGTGATCCTGAAATCAAAGAGATGTCAACTTTTCAGCTCAGACCCTGAAACCTGAGAAAGACATTCTTTATTACTGATATTATTTATGCTTAAATAATTCCATATCAAAGCAGTGCTTCAGTGAGAGGGAAACCCAACTGCAGAGAAAAATTTTGCGTTATTTTAGTTTTCCGAGTAGCCCAGATGTTACCAACAGCCAGGTACTACTCCATAGTCAGTGGAGATTTTTCTACAACTCAGTTTTATAACTTCCAGCTTAAATCCTTTTGGTGGCTTCCCACTGCCTCAGAATAATACCTAAACGCCCCTACATGGCATACAATGACTTTTGCATTCTGGCCCTTACCATCTCTTCAAAATTATCTTTCATGTTTCCAACTTCACATCTTCATTTCCAAACTACCCACAGTTCACCAAATGTGCTTTGCTTCTATTTCTCACCCCAGTGAATTTGGATGTGTTCTGCTTATAACTGTGCACTCATCTTTGCAACAAACACTACTCCTGCAGGACCCAACTTCAAGCATCTCTTCCCTGCAAAGCTCTCCCTAACTCTCCCCAGGAAATTAATAGCTTACCCCTTTGTTTCTTTCATAGCATCTCTACTTAGTGCTGGAATTGTACTTTTGTATATCTGTCTCCCTCACTCGACCAAGAGGTTCATGAAGCAAGGGCCCACATTTTATTAATCATCTGCTGAATAAATAAAAAGACTTCAATCCTTATTCTAACATCCCTTCTCCTGTGTGGCATGGCAATTCATCTGAACATGAATGAATGTGATGGCCAACATGGGAAGTTACAAGACTCACCAAGAGACAAGTATGGCTTATCTTTCAGGAAACCTGCATTGTTTTTTTTTTTTAAAGATTTTATTGGTTTATTGGGGCAGGGCAACAGCATTGGGGTATCAGGGAAGGTGAACAGTCGAGTTGTGGAGGATGTCACTTCACTGGCCCATGTTGGCATTATCACTGCACTCTTTCCGGCTGAGGCAGATCGGTCACCAGCCATTGCACAGCCGCTCACGGTGGCTCACGGCAGCTCACACTGGCTCACGGCAGCTCACACTGGCTACCAGCCATTCACGATGGCTCATGGCAGCCCATGGCAGT